AAGTTATAAGCCCACCTCTGAAATCTTGTATTTATTTGGTTGATGAAACAAAAGAGATTGACTTGGAACATAAGAGGAAGAAATAATTGCTTCTGCTTGATCCCAAATTCCTTTTCTTTCATTCCCAGTTGTAAGCTCCCACCCCTCCGAATATTTCAAAGCCAACAAGAGGACTGGATGGGATTTTGATTCTAAGCAATTAGTTACRGTSTGAGGCGCAGCYGACTAATTGTGCAGACTTGAAATCCTGTCCAGTCCAATAYTGGAGGCTTTGAAATGACCTCTCATGCTCATTAATTATTCGACTTGGAGTAGCTGTTACTACAGACTGAATTCAGCCCTTTCACAGGACTTTACAAGGTTTCACGTAACATACATGTGACCCAAAAATAGCCCATTGATTGGCTGGTTTCCTCATGAATTATTAATGATATGAGAAGAATGAGTATAAGTCCAGAGTATTACAGAAAACCTTTACGCATGAGTATACTGTAAGCCCAGAGTTTATAACCAGGACTTTRCAGTAATCTTACCTGCTGTTGCAGGTCCTGGTGCAGGCATTAATCTTATTTGATCCACTGTTGCCCAGCCTTTATCCCCATCRTCATAATGAASAAAATAGCGAACTTGCTGAGGATTTGCCTTATCAACATTTGCCACACATCCTGGATATAATGCAACTTTCTTGCGCCATACAGCAATGACGCGACTGCCTTTTTGAACTGCCCCAGGGTCAGGATTGACATCAAGGATAACGGCCTTGACATCGCTTGGGTCGTGAGCAATTTGATCGCTGTCATCATACTTGATGTGGATCTTAGTATCCACCCTGTCTACTTTTCCAGGATGATACAAGCCATTTGTCCAACGAGCATATACTCTTGATCCAGCTAAAAATAGGCATAAAAAGGGATTACAAAACTTGCTTTCACCACCATAACACTGTAACTAAGTACAGCAGTGGCGCAGGCAGCCATGCATACTCACCCTCATCAACTCGCATAGGTAGCAGCCTGACCTTATCRAAYGTCTGCCATCCCTTATCACCGTCATCATAGTGGATATAATAACGAGGCGAATAAAACATAGAGCTTTCGACCTTCACTACCTTGCTCTTGTAGTATTGAACCCTGTCTTTAAAGCCTGCAATCACACGGGACCCCACGGGAACATGGTTTGGATTGGGTATTGCATCTATGAGGACAGCACTGATGTCGCTCTGTTCATGTGATATCTTGTCACCATCATCAAAGGTTACATGGATCTTTCCTTCACTGGTGCCGGTGACACGCCCATGATAGTACAGGTTGTTGGTCCAACGACCCCAGACAATACAGCCAGCTAAAGAGCAAACAATAATGACATTTTATCGGGCACTCACACT